AAAAAAAAAAAAAAAAAAAAAAAAAAAATACTTCATCTTAAGACAAATTTTCATGATCTGAATTTTATATATATGCATATATATGTAAATATATGCAACAGTGTATATTCTTCTACTGATACAGTCAGACATGAAAACCCAAATGAGTTACCTAGCAAACTGGATATCTGACAGGATTTCTATTTGACATAGCACAGATTAACCAAAAATGTATTTATATGCACCTGAGTTTTAATGTTTTTAAACAAAGTTTTCTCCTACAGTGCTTTTCTATATGAAATGATTAGAACTATACTTGGGCTCTTTCCTTTGTTGTTCCCAAGTTACATAATATGTAGTAAATTTACCCAAATTTCATTTTAATGTTTTATCTAGAATACTTTAGTATGTTTGGGCACTAAAGGATTCAGACACCTGTTGCCACAGTGACTACTGAAAGAGGAAGAAGTCTTAAGATTCCATGTGTCTTTTAAAAAGTGGATCTTAAAAAATGCCTGTGCAACTCTGAGTGGTCTGATGCCTGCTTCCCCAGAATTTATAACTCCAATATTTTGCTTGCTTTTGAGCCTGTGCAGAGTCAGAGGGCCCATTTGCAGATATAAAAGCAAGCTTTCACCAATGATCTTAAATAAGAGTTAAAATGTTTATGGTAATTGTAACCTTTTAAATGAGTTGTGAAAAGAGCATCTCATTTAAAAATATCCAGATATTTTTTCCCTGTCTTTCTTTTAGCAGGGCTTAATTTTCTTAGCTTTATCCTTTCCTTTCAATTGCAGTGAAATGTAGTAGTCAGCCTTATAAGTAGATCCGATGTAGTCCCCAAACGTACTGCCACCTGCAATATCAAGACTGCATTGGGGAAAACCCAGAGGCAGGGCTTGTGATGTCTGTCATGGAGAAAACCCTTCCCTTGTCAGCTCACTTCATGGTAGCTGTGTTCTGAGAGTGACGTTTTTGAGACAAGAATAAGAAAACTTTGCTTTACTGAGTGATCACATGTAAAAACTTCTTTATGTTTGGAAAAGGTGTGGATGACTCTACTGCCTAGATGGTTACATTTGCTTTCCGTGAAATGCTCAAAAAATGTCAGAACATTCCTTCTCTAATTGTGTCATTGTGTATTGTAATAAACTACTGATGTAAAATAACAGACTTTGTCTACTTTGTTTCACTGGTGATGTTTTTGTGTCCCTTCTATTGTTGGCATCACCCAATATAATCCATCTGGTTTATTGCAGTCTAGAGATTAAAGACTTGAAAAACCTTGTTTTTCTTTCTAAGCATTTGAGAAATTTGATTGACATGGAGGTTTCATTTGAACCTTTTATTCTTGAAGCCAAGGGGAGTGGGGGAAGGCATATTTTTATATCATGTTTATATTTCCATTCATCTTTCTCATATTAGCAATCTAATTCTTTTAGCTTAATCAGCAGTAAATATTCTGAAATAAAAAAGTAATGAACTACCAAGTTTTTGTTAACAGATGTTTTTACATATGGAATTTGCCACCTTCAAATTTTTAAATGAGATTACCATTTTGACCTATGCTTATAGGTCTTACTGCACCCCCCACTCCAAGACCTTGAAAGTAACTAGATATTACTAAAGAGGGAAAACTCATGTGATAGAGAAAGCCCTGGATTAGACGAAGAAACAACGAGGCCCCACCTCTTACTGCTGCTATTTTCTCTCTGGAAAATCTCCCTCTTTTTTCCCCCCATTTACAAAATGGCAGGATTAGGCTAGATGATCACAAAGAACTTTTCCAAATAATGGAAACAAAGTCTTTGTAGATAGGGAGGGCTGGAGGGGTTAAAGAGAGGTCAGAGAAATGGGGAAAAAATAAGAACCAAGGTTATGTAAAGGTACAAGTTTCCAATAGTAAATGCCATTATATTGTATACATTAAATATACCAATAAAATTAAGTTTTTAAAAAAGAACCTTTCCAGGTCAAAATATGATTCTTATGTAAAAGATAGTACTTTGTAAATCTCCTGTATTCACAGTAATAGGTACAGTACCATAATTGGATATTCACCAGGAACTAACACTGTCCTAAACCCAGGGGATGGATGTAGATAGGTGCTGTCAGCATTTTTAAGATGTGTGATCTGAAACCCAAATAGATCTTTGTGCTCGAGTGGCTGAAATTTTGTGCTGTTTTTTCTCAAGTGCTTCCTAACAGTCTCTGTGTGGAGGCCACTTCTACGAATAACCGCAGGGTATTGAACTGGTTTCTTTGGTGGTGACAGAGTGATAAACTTCACACACCTCTTTCCAGTAGGAGATGAAGTTGGACAGGAAAGTAAATACCTTTTGAAGACCTTATTTAACTTTATTTAATATTATTTAAATGTGAGTGACTAAGCCACCAATGAAGGGAAGCTTGATATTCTCATTAAGATGCTAAACTCCAGAGCTATAATTAGGAAGCAGTAAGTGATTAAATAAAACACTAGGCCAACATTTTCTTGATTGTGGAATAGTTAGATGTCAACTATGACACTTTGGCAGGTTGTTGTCAACAGCATGTCCCTCCTCTCACCAAGCTGATATCAGGTGAGCACTGTGTATGATAACAGAGTAGTGGGGGGACTCCAAGTTGGGGTCATCTGGTCTTCTAGATTTGTATTTCAAAACATAAAGCTGTGTGTGGTGGCCCACACCTATAATCTAAGCTACTTTGGAGACTAAGGCAGGAAGGAGAATCATGAGTTCAAGATCAGCCTGGGCAATTTAGTGAGACCCTGTCCTAACATAAACAACAAAAAGGCTGGGAACTTAGCTCAGTGGCAGGGTTCCCCTGGGTTTGATGCCCCATTACCACAATAATAGAAAAAAACATCAGTTTTAGATCTGAGAATGACAACTTTTGCCATGAGAATAAATTTTCCAAAAAATTATGTTGCCATCATTTATAAAGAGAATCTTAACACCCCAAAAAAGGAAGTAAGGCATATTTTAGAAGAAAGGAGAGGCCTTAACATAAAACAGATTGTAAGACGTTCACTAAATGTGCTTTTCTTCTTCATTTCACCCGAGATTGGAGAAATATTTTTCAGGAACCAATATTGAGAATCACAGCAGAACAACATAGCACCATAAGTGAAATTCCAGTCAGTCTTCTTATTGAGGGGTGGGGTGGAAACTTAAGAAGCAAAAGTTCTTGGTTCCATAACTAAAGGTCATTTGCATAACCAGAGTTGACCATAGTGAGTTACCTCATAGGGCTTGATACCATTGTGCCCTTGTGATGAAGGTATATATTGGTGAAAATTGGAATTATCTGAATTTTTTTAAATATCAAAATAGAAGGAAACTCTAAGCTGTTTGAGGTACAGAAGCAAGCGTAGCCCAACACAGAAGAACAGTTTGCCTTTGAAAACAAATCAGAGCAACAGAAAGTCATCAGTTTTCATAGTTTTGACTATGGTACTAGTCTGTTTTTCCTTGAGTTCACAGTTACCAGACTGATCTTTCAAATCTTCAAACCTGCTCTGATGATTCCTTCCATCAAGAGCTGCCTGATGCAGGTGGAAAGGTCCTTGGTTCTATAGTGGTGTGATTCCTTGTTTCCACAAGCTCCACACTCTTGAAATCCAGGGACATTTGCACATGATGCTGTGGGCACTTCTGCCAGCATTCTCCAACCTCCCTTCATCTCAGGATCAAGGAAGCCTTTTTGTGGACATTCATGTTATGCTCCTTTGGTCTCCCCTTAAGACAGGGTTCTTGAGACATAATGGAGACTGTCGTCTCTGTGACCCATTGAACAGATTATGGCAATAGTGGGCACTTGATAGCAGTTAGAGCAGGAAATTCAAATGCCCTGTGCTGTTTCCCCCTCTCAGATTAGCCACATATGAACATAAAATTTTTTGGCACTCTAGGCATCTCATCATAATAGAAGCACTGATTGATATCTCTTGTTTCTTAAGAATTTTTCAGAAGCGATCTCTGATACATGTTGCATTTAAACCTGATCAGAAATATCTTGTCTGTTCCTGCCTTTCACACTGAAAATGAGTGCTTAGGGAAACTTATCAGTAGGGAGTATGTTATTAAAATGGTGCCCTGGTCTCTTCACTGTGATTCATTCCAAGCGAGGTGTGGGAAAAATATTGTTTTTAACCATGTCTTACTTTTTTACTGCAGTTTCATTGAACTTGTCATATCTTAAACTAAAAGGTTCATTTTCCCATCCTCCCTATCCCCACCTATTTTCTGATGTTTTAAAAGAGAAATCCTTTGGTAACTGCTGAGGCTTTTCAACTACTTTTTAAAATACATTCCAGCCCATGATCCCTTAGTGTGAATCAGTGCTTCTAGCCTTGTCTTTTTAAGTGGGAAAGACAAGCGAAAGATGCTGTTCTGGTTGCTACTACTGAATGCCATCTTCCAGGATCTAAAGGAATAAGAAACTTCACAGTTTTTCTGTGTAAGTTCTGCTGCCTTTGTGAAAGCCATCAGGGGAACATTGTGTAGTTTTGATCTTCAGTATAAATACACAGTGTGCTCAGATACACATGAAGACAAGGGCTACAGAGACCCCAGTAGAACACCACAATCAAGACTATGCTGTCAGAATTATCTTGACAGTGTAGTAAGAACCCCTGTAAACATCTGGTGCAGTTGAGGTGATATAAGATGCAAGGCCTTGGATGGGTGGGGGATTGGGCAGGGAGGTGTGGACCACATATGCAAGGGAGCCCTGTCCAGAGATGTGGGAAGCAGAGAGGTCCGAAAAAACAGCTGTAATCATT